AGACAGGGTCTCGCTATTGCCCAGGCTGGTCTTGGACTCCTGACCTCAAATGATCCTCCCACCTTGGCCTCCCAAAGTACTGGGATTATAGGCGTGAACCACTGTGCCCGGCCTCAAGTTGTCATCGTTGGTTCCATCTCCCCCACTGGACTGTAATCACCTCCAGAAAAAAGACTCGTCTTTTGTCTGTCCATGCCCAGTCCCCAGCACAGGGGCTAGCATAGAGTCATCCCTCAATACATATTTTAATAAACTGATACAAAGAGGAGAGAGCAATGCCGAGTGCCTGCCTCTTTCCACCACGCGCAAGGTGACATGGTTTACAAGGGTTATATTTTCAACAACTGGGCTGAGTGGAGACACGGCTTGGGCTTTGGGTCATTCCCCTTTGGGGGGAGCTGTAACAACAATGGTTTGATATTTGCAGTGGTTTAAAGTCAGGCTTATCTATACCCAAGATCTGTCACTAACTGCTTGGTGGCTTCAGGCAACTTACCTGAGATATTTATGCCTGTTCCTCACTTGTAAAAGTATACTGTATTATAGTGGGCGTGAATTTTTTTGCTATATTTTATAATTAAATTATAATGAATTTTATCTCCCCCTTCTGCAAATAGTTTCCTTCTATTCCTAATTCTGAAAAAGGGATGATGTGTACTCAGAGGTCCTCTGCTTCTCTTAAGCAGGATGACAAGAATTAATCAGGACTATGTCACATGCTAGTTTATGAAGTGATTACAGAGCAGAAGTGAGTTTTCTTTCCTTGTTTTCCCCAGCCCAGGACTGTTGATGCTAGGCTCATGCTCTGTAGATGGGATGTGAGTATGTGTAAGTGATTTGCCTAAGTCTGGAAAAAGCACCAAGTCAAAAACGTTAAGGCCACATTTAAAAGGACTAGCGCAGAGTATGGACTCCTGGGGGTGATCCAGCCCCACCTGGGTCAGAGAGGCGGGTGAGAAGCGGCAGCTCCAACAGGAAGGGATGGGTCTCCCTGTTTATCCCTCCCCTGGGCCCACTTGACCCTGGGCTTATACCCAAACCATCACTTAGACACTGCTTAATAGTCCGTCCTTGTAGCCCTTGAGTTGTGCTACTTTCCACACTCCATTAGGTAGGCCGCAGGAAACTTTAATCAATTGAATCTGTCACCGCTCACACAAGTCGGTACTCTCTCTACACTTGATTTACAAAGCACAGACCCTGGAGATTATGCACAGGAGCAATAGCAAAGCTTTATTGTTAAGTTATGTGGAGGACACACAAGGGTTCTAGGAAGAGGACAGGGAGGGGGAGTCCACTTAGGCGGCAAGGGGAGAAGAGGGATCTGGGAGATTTGCTTCCTCCCAGACCCAGGGGGCGTAGAGGGGGCCCCTGCAACAGACTCCAGGAGGGCCATGCGGCCCAGGGGGTACTGTGACCTGTGTCTCTCCGGCTGTGCATTTCTGCTGGGCACCGAGGGCAGCTGGCAGAGGAGCAGTCCCTGCTGCAGGCGGGGCGGAGCGTGGGAAGGCTGCCAGGTGCCTCAGTCCCACATGGCCTGGGCCTCCCCCTCAGCATGACGTTGATGTACCAGAGCGCTGCTTCGCTTCCTTCTCGGGGTCCAGGTCTTCAGCTGTGGGGGGTGGTGACAGCCTCAGAGGACACTTGCACCTATAGGGCCAGGAACTGTCAGACGTGGGTGAGCCATTGCTGGAGGTGAATTCCTGCCCCGGTGTCGCATCTGCCGCCTTTTTACTCCAGGTCTTCCTGTGAAGCCGAAGAGGGAGACCCAGGACCCCCCTTGCTCACTTTCTGTGAGGACCTGAGGAGCAGCCGGGAGTGGGCTGTGGCTGGCGCCCTCTTCTTCTGCAGCTCTGCAGTGGCGGGAAACCTCGAGGGGGGCCGTGTGAGCTTGCGATGGCATTTCGCATGGGGCAGGAGCTCACACAGGAGGTGTGGGATTTGTTGTTGGCTTTGACGTCTGACCTCTCAGCATGGAGGTTTCTCAGCAGAGGCCCAGGCCTGGGTATGGAGGAAGTGAGGCCTCCATTGAGCCCCAAGGGCCTAAATGCAGGCTGTGCACCCCCAGTGCCCTCTGGGACCCTTCTCTGGTCATCCAGATTCTCTGTGACTGTGGGGTCCTCCTCCTGCTCAGGCATCCCTTCCCCACTCTCTCCAAGGCCCCTCAACGTGATGTCCTCTGTGCAGGAGTCTTGGGCACACCTGCATGTTGTGGGCTGCAAAGGGGTGGCCACCTGCTCCTGGGGGCCAGAGAGTCACTTTGCTCAGTACACTGGCTGAGCTGCAGGCGTTGGGAGCAGACACCACTGGCTTCCTCTGACCGCGATGTCAGGATATTGAGATAAGAAAGCTAAAAAAACCCCCCAAAACCCAGAACCCCAAAGAGCCTGCAGTATTTTAGGATGTTGTCTCCGAGAGGCTGTAAGAAAAGCCAATGTAAAGTCATTGAATTCCAGTAGAATGGCCTCAGAGTTGATTCAGGGGCAGAGGCAGGGGCTGCCAAGAAACTTTCCACCCAGGGACACACAGCTGGCTGCCCCTGGCAGGTCCCTGTCCCCTACAGGAGGCGCTGTGGAGCACAGCGTCTCAGGTAATTGCCAACGGGCAGCAGTTGTGTGAAGTCAGGTGTCTGCGGTACAACGCGAGGCTAGAGTTCTCCTTGGCTGCCAACTCCACCAAAGGCACATCCCACACTGGCCTGTGGCTGGGATGCACCTTTGCGACCAGTGAGCCAGGAATGGGCACGCGTGCACGGAGATCGCCCCAGGGAAGTGCTCCCAGGAGAAAAGGGACGGCAAGGCTGCTAGAACCCTCTAGCGCTTCTGGACTTTCGGCTGCTGATTGAAGGTGTTGGGCATGAGGGGTGCAGGCTTACTGGGAGGTGCAGCTGACCCTCCTCCGCTCAGCTCCCCAGCGCCTACCTGAGGTGGCAGCTTTGGGGTGAGCTCCTGCGAGATGGCCTGCCCTTTCCCCAGGGGGACTGGGGAGACCTGCTCAGAATTAAGGCCGGGCGCCACACAGAATCTGCCAGGGTGGGGTCTCTGGTGGTGGGCAGGGTAGGCAGGGAGGGACATACCCTCTGGCCCAGCAATCCTACTCCTCGGTATTTACCTAAGGAAAATGAAAACTTCCGTGTGAATGTTCATTCACCTCGAACCTCTGTGTGAATGCTTTTAGCTGCTTTATCCATATCTGCCAGACATAGGGCTTTTCAGTTTTTCCATTTCTTCTTGAATGTGTTTGGAATTCTTTTTAGGAGGTTGCTCTGGGGATAACAATATGTATACCATGCTTTCCAGTTTAATTAGAGTAGTGTCTTACCAATGCTAGTAGTATGCAAAAGCCTCACAGCCACCTAAACTCCTTTAACCCGCACTCTTTATATTATGGCTGTTACGTGCATTTTGTCTACATGCTCTGACCCCCCAAACAGCGGTACACTTCTTGCTTTCAAACGTCGTGGTTCAGAACCAGCTCATCGTAGAAGCACAGAACCTGCAACACTGCTGGGTTGTCTGCCCGGCGTCCTTTACTTCCTCCTTCCAGCTCCCCTGCAGGCTGTGCTCCAGGAAGGCATCCGGTCTGTCCTGGAGGTGTCGTGTAGATCCTGGGAGTGGTGGCCTCTGCAGGCCCACGTGGAATAAATCTTTTCTGTTTCTGCCCCGCCCTACAAGGGGCACCGTCCAGCCTTTCTCCAGCAGGCTAAAGGACTGCAGAGGGCGGAGGGGACAGTGTGAGGCAGAAAGGAACTTGTCCTTCTCTTCTTGGGGTGTGGAGAGGGCTGCAGGGGGGCCCTCCAGGTAGCAGCTGGATCCTCACTACTTTGGCTGCCTTAAGTGGCCTGCCAGATACTTCTTGTTATTTTGATGTTCAAAAATTGAAATTGAATTTTCTGCGCTGGGATTTTCTCCTTCGGTTTAAGGCAGCCAGGAAAATGGCTGG